ATTAAGCACTGTATAACAAACATATGTGTTTAAATAAAACAACACGAAGCATCTGGAGCCTTCACATTAAGTTTAAACCTAAACAGTGTCAAACCATTTTCTGCCTGTTGTCGTGTTTTTCCTGCCACATGTTAGTTCGTGACCAGTATTTTCAGTGATGCGTGTCAGTGGCTAAATGCTCAAACCCTCGTCGTGATGAATTAGTTCCGAGGTTTAATTCTGCGAGTTCTGGCACACCTAAACTGTGGAGATGTCAGGACGCTCGCTGACATTTAAGATAACATTGAACAGAAACGTGATAATAGGACAATGCCAACGCCTCGACAGCCCGCAAACCGTCTCTCGTTTCGATTATGGTAACGTTATCTTCGTTGCATTAATACTCACGTTTTTGGCTTGCCCTTGGCGTTCACACCAACCAAGCATCCTCACAGCTCCTCCTGCCTCAGCCGCTTGCCTCTCCTACGCCACGGACTGATTGGCTACAGGGCTAACTAGCTTGTCCGGATGCTAACTCCTAGCTTGACCGCGTTACCTTCAAATGTATCTACCTGACAAACGCCAAATCCGGTGGCCAYAGAGGTCACCTCCACAGGACATCAACCACCGACACGCTGCGTGGCTTTAAACAGCACAGACACGGTGTGAGGACGTCCTTACCTGTTTGCGTTAGCCTGTTAGCCGCTAACGCCCGCTGCGAACTGTCACAGACGGCCTGGGTGTTAGGTGCCCTCCGCTCCGTCCGTGGGTCACCCGACAGGGAGCGGTGTTCGTGAGGATTCGGCCTGTTGTTTTTAATCTTCGAGGTTATGGCTGCTCATTAGAAACTAGAACTATGACTGAAAAGACTTGCCACTCCGTGTGAGCGGCTGACAGCGTAGTAAATGATGCTAAGTATGTGTATCCTCCTTCCTCCCTGCTGGATGAACGAGTGGCTTGGTCTGTCACAACCTGCCTTCACAACATCCTCCTCCTCCTCCTCCTCCTCCTCCCCATCATCATCATCATCATCATGATGAGTGTACACAAAGTTCCGCATACTACCCTTGCAAAAAAAAACAATTAAATCTCCCCAAACCAACATTTTAATCTGTTTGTATTTATTGTTATATTTCGTGTTAGATTAAGACAGTGGTTCCCAAACCTTTTTTCTTCTGACCCACAAAATATTCATGGCAAAAACTTGTGACCCCAAATATTACTGGTCTGAGTACACGAACTTCGTTAACAACCCTAAAAACACAGGCTTTTTGACAATCTAAACTAAAATATAAATACTTATTTATACTT